GTCCGCACAGCATGGGGAAAGTCTGCTTCATCTTTACCTCTTGCTGCTAAACGGCCCCCCGCCATGCGCTGGGTGTGTAATCACACTCATTTACACACCACTCAATACCAAATCAGTGCACTAGGCACCATTTTGCCAGATCCCCAGATGTGCATCTTACATCCCTGAACTGGGTTCATTGTGTCGTGGAGAAAATTGCTGGGACAAGCCAATTAGATTTGGGGCGAACAGGCACAAATATGCAGAGACACATTTCCCCTTTTATTTTCAAGCCACCTTTTCAAACCTGCTGTTCTTTCATATGCACAGAAAAACACTGACATACCCAGTCTCTTAAAACATGAGCTTGCTGTTTTTAAAATATAGGCTGCAATTTAGAGCAGTGTTTTGTGGGGTATTTTTGTTTTGTTTTGTTTTTGTTTTACCTTGGATTCAAGGATGTGATGCATGAAAAACTCCAATTTCGCAGAGCCTCTTAGATTAAATCACACGGCGTAGGTAAGGTTTGGCAGACTGGCAGACAGCTCATACTAATAGGACCAAGAATTCAGAGAAGAATGGGGTAGATTTTAATGTAAGTTTACGTTTCTTCTAATGAATTTTAATGGCAGCTTTCACTATGCGTCTATGATTCATATGAGAAAATTAAAATCCTACCTTGAAACTTATATGACAATGCAGTTAACATCTTGCAGTTTCTGGCATTATCTCTGAGAACCTTTCAGTCCCATTTCTATGGCGCATTGTTTTCCTCACAAAACATATTTTAAATATAAAACATTGAATGTTCATTGCTTCTTTATAGCATTTTTATTCATTACTTGCTGGAGGCAAAGGGCATGGGTTTTATATAGAATTCTCAATTGAATGTCTTATTTTGCAGTTTTACTCCACTGTACATGTTTCCCAAGATATTATTTTCTTTCAGATGCAGATGTTCTTCTGGAAAAGTGATGCAAGGCAGTTTCCACTTAGAGCCCCTCTGTGCGAGGTTTTCTGCTGCGAGCGCTGCCAGCATTGGCTCTTTGGGTGGATGGCTTGTCAAGTACCTTTTCAGGCCCATTCAAAAGTTATTTCCCTCTTAAACACTGTGATCACACCATTGTTCCCAGGAGCTGCTTGGGGATATTTAGACAGGTCGGAGATGATGAAGCTTTGGCTCACTTTAAATCATACAGACTCACATCTAAGAGAGAAGGATCTTATGAGAGACCAATCAGCCGCTTGGTTCCAATTTGACCCACAACCAGCTGATACAAGTTATATTCAGCATTCTCTCTGTCTACAGTGACTACTCAATGAGAGTCCATGTTGTGTTAGTTACCACCAATCCCCGAGCATGTGTTCTGACTCAGCATAATTATGTGGTGAAGAGAAGCACTTCGTTTCCATAAGAGGAACTATCCCTCCCAGCCAAATTCCTTTATTACCCATTGCTTAGCGCTAGCTGGTAGCTAGCTTGGCTCTGCCACTCCATTCTATACCCCCTCCACCTCTTAAAGTGGCAATGGTTATTTTGTACTTTAAAAAGGTACCTAACCTGAATGGCTCCAGGAGGCACTAGGCAACTTCTGAGGCAAATGCAAAAATTACCTGGGCAGCGACATCAGATTACCTGGGAGCCCCCAGCTTACTTCTTGGCTGCCCACAAGTAATTTGTGTTTGGATAAATCCATTCTGCCACATTTGCCGTCTCTAGCAACGTTCCCCTTCCCCCAGCACAGTCCAATACATTCTTCCTGCCCCAGAATTCTCTCTTTCGTTATATCACAGCATTGCAAAGGAGCGTAAAGCACATGCAACCTCAACACGAGGCTCTGGAACTGCTGAGTGTTGGATGAGACAGAAAGGTGAGCTCCTGGCCACTTGTAATCATTCATTATATCAACCCTTGCCAAATTCCAGCTTAGATAATTACACTTTGCTTCCTGAAAGTCTCCCAAGTCTCAGCTGAAGTTGTCCTTCGTACATTGAAGCAGGTTATGCAGTGTTGCACCACAGTGTTGTCACATTCCACCCTGGAGGTAGGGTGACCAGACAGCAAATGTGAAAAATCGGGACAGGGGGTGGGGGGTAATAGGAGCCTATATAAGAAAAAGACCCAAAAATCGGGACTGTCCCTATAAAATCGGGACATCTGGTCACCCTACCTGGAGGTGACTGCATTTCAGTGCTGTGTGAGTAGTCCACACCCACACCCACACACACACCCATTTGGGATCCTCTACACTGAAAGGCTTGACAGAAAATAATGTTATTAGTATTAGAATAAAGATCTGTGCTAGGTTTTAGCTGCATGGCTCATTAAAATGGATGGGCCTCACCTGGCTAAAACGCCACATAGCTCTTTATGCAAAGAGCAGCAGTGATTGGAGGACAGGCACTCGGCTCGACACCTTGGGAGCACAGTTCCCAGGTGAGGAGAGTGCTGCAGTTGGGAAGCCTTGGAAAACAAATAGCCAGGGATCAAGAGAACTATTTTGAAATCATGATTACTGAGTTTTCAGCTCTTACCTTGCCTTCTAACTATCTCTAGTGAGCTCTCTGGTTATCATTAGCAAAGGAGGAATTAAGACATCAAAACTTTATCTACTAGTCCAGCTTTAGCGAAAGGTCCCTCTTCTTTGGCCGGATCCCTTTCAAACCTGGTGTCTGCATGGATTAGAATTTAATATGTGCTAAAGCTGACTCAGTGTGGCTTGATGACTGTGTTGGTGTGAAGAGGTTCACTCACCACAGGAGCATCTCTTTGTGCCCAGGTGTGACAAAGCAGTTCTCTCCCCCTGCTGATGGTCACTCTGGTGCTGCGGTGGTCTGTGTCTCTTCCTGAAACTCGGCCCTCTGGCCACCTCACAATTTAGTCAGTCACCTCCAGGATAACAGAAAGCCCAACATGAAACAGTCCAATGTCCTCACCAGAGGGTCTCTGGCCCCAAATCCAGGTCCCTGGTCCTCACACCCTTACCTCAGGGCTTTCCAATGTCCTTGTTCCCATCTCCGGACTCATGCCATCTTGCCACGGAGGAAGAGGAACCCAGGCCCTCCCACTATACTGGGTTCAAACCCAGGGACCGTATCACCAGCAGCCAAGGACTGCACACTCCCATTCTTTGCTGCTGTTTCCCTGGGCTCCTTCCTACTAAGCCTTGTCAGTTCCCCTTATTCTGTTCCTCCACAGAACACCTCCCAGGACTCTCGCTCCCTAGCAGTCCAAATTCTGCCCTTCTTTCAGGGCGCACCACCAGGGCCTGCTCCATCTCAGGGGCTGCTTTACACCTTCTCAGCTGTTTGCGCGTTAGGCTAGGATCCCAGGGCTTATTCTCCCCCCCCCGGGCTTCCTTCTCACCACATCTCTATTCCTGGAGGGTGACTGCAGCACCCGTCCTGCTACAGGCCTCTTCTCTTTTAAGGAGCCTGCTCCTGCCCAGCTGGGCTTCAGGATGATTAAGCCTGACTCTCTCTCCAGGTGCAGCCAGATAACATAACTGGCCTCTCTGGCCTGTATTAACCCATTCAGGGCCTGTGTAGGGTGTTTACTCCATCCACATGGAGATACATGACAATCTGCATTTACTTGTACTGAATTTTCTTGAGTGTTGCACATGTTTTTAATAAACAACAGTCATGACTTTTGATATACCCCATTTTGTAAGCCTTTCCTATTTTCAGTCCTTCATTTCCCCTGTCTCATTGTCCTCTTTCTCCATTTCCTATGTTTCTTAGAAGCAACACAGAGAACATTATTCATAGAAGTGATACATCTTTAGTGGCTCCCTGGCCCAGTGACTTTCCTCCTAAACACTGAACATCTTTATATTCGGTTTGGAGAATTTCATTATTACATCTGAACAGATGCCAATGTACTATACAAACTATGGCCCTGATGCTTCCATGTGTGCATAACGTTGAGCATGTAAGTAGTTTGCCATTGACTTTAATAGGACGATTCTCATACTTCAAGTTAAGCACCTGCATCAGAGTTTCAAGGGTTCTGAAATGTATGTAAAGGAAGCACTGCACCCATCGCATTGAAATGCAACCTCAGCTGGGGTGGAATGGGGTAGCTGTTACATAACACACAGCAACACTACGCTTCAGTTGAGAACAGGAAATGATGAATTCTGCTTTGAATTGAAATGGTGGGGGGAATTTAGGTAGGCCAAATGTAGCTGCCGAAACTGGAATTTGGTCATGGCTGTAACAGAGTTGACCATCTCTTATGCGCCCCCTGTCGAGCCCTGCCTGAGTTTCCCCATCTTCTGGGCCCTTAGGAACTCCACACAGACTTTTTTATGGCTGACATCACCCCTGCCTGGGGCTGGTTGAATTACAGGAACAGTTCAAAAGCAAGACTCAAGGTTCCAAAATATAGGCTGTCTCCACATCTGCAAAGTTCATTCTCTGGAGTTTTCTACCACATCCAGAGCTCTTGTTCCGTCCCAGCCTGCTGTTCACGAAGCCACTCCTAGCCCTTCCTAGCTGGAGCTCAGATTTCTAGGTCTGGCTTCCAGCCTCAAAACCCTTCCTCCAGTCAAGGGTCTCCTACAGGCACCTCCTGCTTGCTGCAACTCTTCTGCAGCCTCTGCCATAGCTTCCTCTACAAGGCTCAGGTGCCTTCTCTTAAGCCCAACCGGGCAGCAGGTAATCAGTCACAGGTGCGCTGGAGCCGGTCCCCTCTTAAAGGGGTCAGTCAGCAGGTGACAGAAGCTAACATCTCTGTGAAAGGTGCCATGGGATCAGGACCTTGGTTTTACAACTCATCTGGAACATGGAATGTCCAACAGCAGAGCATCCCGAACCACAAAGCTGGAGCACTGATTCAAAGCTGGCTCTGAGGGAATCCAACTTAAGTGTAATGAGTCATTATCACCATTTTCTGCAGCAATGGTGGGTTTTCCTTGAAGTTCTCCCACTAATCCTGACCACGCCAGATCACAACCCAAAAAGATGATGCCTTCAGAAATGCAAAGAAGTGAGAGAATCAATATGCAAATAGATGGTAGTTTGTAGTCTTAAAGCCTTTATTTTAATGCAAAATAAAACAGGTAAAATTTATACAGTTATATATAACAAAAAAATGCAAAATCATTTATGGTACCAAAATTTTTTCTCAAATTTGGTGTTGAATCCTCCCCCCCACTGATTTCACTATATTTTTTTATTCAACACACACAACCAGAGTCAAGTATCATAAAAAAGCGAAGAAATAATAGAAAAGTGACTTAGAAACAAAACGTCCTGGTTTATTATATGTTGATAGTAAACGGCGCTCTCCAGACAGTGCACGTAAGGTTAGAATACTCTCGCAAACAACTGCAATCGAGACTGCAGGATAGGGCCTCACCCTGGGAGGAGATAAACAACTTCAATTCGGTGGAAAGGATCAGACCCCAGAAGAGTAATGGGATTTATGCAGAACTCTCTCTGTCTGAAAAGCAAATCTTTGAGGCTGCTTGTGATGATGATGAGGAGGAGGAGGTAGCACTTTCACTCTGTACAAAAATTAGGCAGCATGTGAAGCTATTTCTAGTTTAGGACGTTTGTGTGAGCTGGTGTTCAGGGCTGCAGGCATTATTTAGGGACAGTGGTTGTTTTTATTCTTGGGTCCCCTCCGTTTTTCACAAAGACATCTTTGCAGGAGTGCCCACAGAGCCTCCTTATAATAGTAGTTATCACAGTGGTCATGGTTCCTCACGGGCCAATGTCAGTGGATCACTAGTGCTCGGTCACTCAGCAAGTCACCCGTTTCTATTTGTGTCTCTAAATCCTTCACTGCCCACCTGCCCCTTTACCAGAATCAGAAACCGATGATGCAACTCAGCCAGCACAGCAGCTTGGGAGTCACAGCAGCCCTCCTGGCATACAAGCAGGTTGCTCTTGTTTAATCTTGACTCATGCCACCGTGCAAATGTACCATGTTCCGGCTCCAGCAGCAACCTGGGCGCTCCTGGCAAACCCAGAGCACGGCAGGAAGGTTTTTGCTGGATTGGCACATTTCTGATGAAGGAGTGTGAGGCAACTATGTGTCAAGAGCATTTCAGACACGTAACACTCCAAAACATATGGACATATGGGGAAAAGAGCAACCTGTTACTGAACGGCTCTTTTGGATTTTGCAAGTGGTGTATTTTCAACTGTCAGTTGTAGCACCTCGTGAAATTTGCACGGTACATATTTTCCACAATATGGTGCTAAAATCATACATTTTACATTGCACAGAAGCAGACTATATATACAGTAGTTATATATCATGCTTTGCAAATACCGTACCTCTACAAGATATTAAACCAGCAAATTGCAATTTTCTCCTAGACCAGCACCACAGATTAATGAGATGGTCTGTAATACCTTTTGCTCCTGTCCCCCAGCAAGGTCAGAAGTTTTCTCCTTCATAGCTTCCAGCAGTGTACGATGTGTCCATAGATTATAATAGTATCCACTACTTTTTGTTAAGTCTCGTCTGTGTAACCTGTTGGGTAAGATTAACAACTTGGAAGGTGCTCGTTTGATCTGTCGGCCCAAACCAAGCGGTGCCAGGGCAGTCAATGTGAGCCTCCACGGGAGGTTTCAGGTTACAGAGACACAATTGAGCAAGCCCTTCAAAGGCCATAAATAACCCAGAAGCTGTTTCCATCCTGTTTTTATTTGGCCCTGGCTCGTGAAATACTCTAAATGAGTTCTGTAAGCTGTGCTGCGGAGCATTTGAAGGGTTAGTAGATAATGAATGATAAGGCAGTAGCTTATATTCAGAGCTGTTCTTAATTGTGGTCTGGCTTGATCAAGCCACTGTCACAAACGTATTAGTTTCTTTACAGCTGGATCAAATGTATCTGGGGCTGTATTTCAAAAGAGGAAAGGAAAGTATTTTAATTTGTTTTCACTTCGCTTTAGGTGGACGTTCATGTCACTAGCAGCTACCCTGTGGCTGCCAAATCTTTATTAACCGAGTATACCACCCAGTACAGAAAGCTTGTTCAAAGAAGTACAAGGCTGTGTGTGGCATGTACCCTACACAGTGTTTACAGTGGAATGGGAATGCAGCTAGTGGTTGGAAGAGCCCCTTGGAATGCAGCTGTGCAAACCTGTGTGAGACTCAGATACACCATGCGCCAGTCTCTAGAGATCAAATGAATCCTTACCAGTCCTGATAAAGGGATACACACTGGATGAATGGACCCTTCGTGTGATCTATAACTGGGAGGTGACCTGTGCAATGAATCCTGATGCATTTGCTGCATACCAAAGGGCGTCAGCCAGGCCAGGTCCCAGACCTCTCTCTCAGAGGAGAGGGGCCCAAACGAGCTTCTGTTGCTTCCAAAGGCAGAGCTTGAAGAATTACGAACACTCAGAAGCTACTTAAAATGTGTTCCTAGTTACAGGCTCTGTGGTTCCCCAATGTTTAGCATGACAAATCATTGAGCAAAGCATCCAAGCATCTGAAGCCCGGTTAGACGGCGCAGCAAATGTCTGTGGAGTTGGGAAGTCGCATGGCTGGGAGGCACATTTCAAACTGCCTCAGAGCATCATTTACCTCCTTAAGGCCAGAGCAGCCCTGAGCTAATGTCTGCAGAGAGCTGGGGGAAAGAAGCTAGGTCCTTCTCCTACCTTCTCCCCCTCCTGACCCACTTGTCCTTCCCCTTCTCTTCTCTTTCTCCATCAACCTCAGCGTCTCTCCTCTCCTCGCCTAATTGTTTTAAAAAACCTTAATTGTTTAAACCATTCTCCTCATTCCTTTTCTCTTTGCCCCCAACGTTTCTAAAGCAATCTCTCCTCTGTTATCCTCATTCTCTTCTCCATCCCCTGTTGCTTTTAAAAGCCTAACGCCTCCCACCCACCCCCCTTTTCCAGTTGCCGTGCGGAGCACTGCCAGGCGAATTGGCATTGTTTGGCACTTCGCACAGTACCGGCACTGCCAGAGCCTGAGCTTCCTTGCCACGATCAGCAGCGGGCCCTGCATTAACAGGTGACAATTCGAACGGCAGGAGCCATGCACAGTGACAGCAGAAGAATAGGATAGAAGCTTACAACTGCAGGCTCAGAATTCATTAACTGATACGCCAGCAGACACCTTTATGCAAACCTGCCTAGAGTGGGGGCAAGTACAGGCTCTGCCCTCCTTGATCCATCTGAATACGTGATGGAGTAACAACTTTAATAGCACTTACTGTACTTCACACCTCGGGCCAGATCCTCAGCAGGTATAAATAGGATTAGCTCCACTGAAGTCAAGGAAGCTACACTCATTGAAAGCTGCTGCGCACCTGGCCCCTAGGCCTTACATTTAAGAGCCGTGCACTGCATAATATATGTACAAATGGGAACAGACAGACAGAAACATTTTTCAGATGGTTGCCTCATCCCCTAATGATCCTGTAGGACAGTTCTATGAATACTCTCTAAACTGCCCAAGTACAGCTGAGGAAGTTTAGTTCATCTTAGCCCAACTGTGTTATTTGCAATATGAAAAGAGGATAAGTTTGATGCAGAACTACCAAAAAGGAGGGCTCCCAGATGCATGCTCCAGCAAACAAGCAGAAAGAGGAAGATACAGGCAAGATTAAAAACCAATGACTACGGCATTCTCAGAATATAAAACTGCTGGTCCGAGTGGGAGTGGGACAGCAGGGACGTCATTGGTAAAGTCACCACTGCACACGGCACTAGATTACACAAGACTCTCTGACCCCAAGAAGAGCAGCACTGCCCTGAACACAGTGTCAGGTCACCAGAAGGCTTCTGTGATATAATACTCCTGTGGTTTGGATCCAAAATGGACTCTGGTGGTATCACGACTGGTCTTGTACAGAGGGCTCGCTGTGTGTGTGTGTGTGTGTGTGTGTGTGTAGCCAGATGTGGTAAATAGCCCTGAGCTGTACTAACAGTTACACTTACTTTTCAGCCATCACTTTCTATTTTTAACTGGTGTTAAAAACATTTGAATGTCTGGCAACGCACGTACCTAAAAGACACAGTCTCTTAATTTGATATGGCCCAAGATTCCTATGAAAACGAGCCTATCCTGAGGCAGGTTCAGTAAGAACGATTCCAGTTAAGGCACCATTCCTACATGCTGTTAAGCTTGCCAGGACCAACTGTAAAAAAGGGAATGTCAGGAATCCTCCATCCCAGCCCATGTTGACAAAGTCCAGTTTCAGGCTATACAGCTGCAGTCATGGGATTCTTCTGCCTGGAATCCTGATGTCTATATTGGTATTGATCCGGGCTGCTCCCACGCTGTCCTGTTCGGCCCATTTCATTATAAGCTGGCACTCTGTGTGGTTGGGGAGGTGAAGGTGGGACATCCTGGCGGAGGGGTCCCTTGTGCTGGGTGGTTAGTTGTTGGCCGGGGTAATACTGGGGATACCGCAATTCTGCTGCCCTCATGTCTTGTGCACGAGAGTAGTTTCCTTTAGAGGGGTGGACAGCAGGCTGCCCTCCTTGGTAGTATGGAAGATCTCGCTCTTTGTAGATCACTCGGGGCCCTGTTAAATACTCCATTGGTTCTGCTGGGCCACACCTGGGAAGGAAGAAAATACATCTAGATAAATAAAGCAGTATTCCAAGCCAGCAACACACTGTCGTTAAAATTCTTCTACATTTAATGTGGGACAGGAAATGCCACCTCAGCAGTAACTTGACCTGATGAGTCAAAACAGAACTTGAGAGTAAAAAAAACCCTCCCAGCTACATGATGCAGTATTTCTAATTCACAGGATACTGGGCGCAAGGGTCCTGCGCCCATCACAGCCCACTGAGGAAGGAAGAGCTCTGCAGCTCACAAAGCCAGCCTCCTTTGATCCATTTGTCATAATGGAAACAAAGATCCTTCAAACAATGTGTGTTTGACTGTGTCTTATCTAGCCTGAGGATAAACAGATGAGTTTGGGCTACAGCTTTGCAAATCCCATAAGCCGTATGTGCACAAATAATCACACCTCCCAGCCCTGGCCCACTTTTTTCTTCTAACATGTCAGACTGTAAAACTCTCAAAACACCATAGTTGGAAATCTTGGAACTCCTGGAAGAAACAACAGGGATGTTAGGATACAGTATCTGTGTTTAATGGGCTAGCCGCCAGTGAGGTTTCAAAACCCCCCTGTGAGCTGGAGAGCCTGATGTTAAGTCTGCTCTGTAACTTGTCTGCATCCATAAGGGTTTGGCAAGCTCTGGTGCATGTGAAAAGCAACATGTGAACATGTAATCCCAGAGGATGTGCTATAAAGTCCCCTCTGTACCTTTCAGTGTCTTAAATGCCATGATTTACACTAATGAGGGATTGATATTTCTCCCTAGAATAGTTTAACATGTGATACTTCTAAATGGCAAAAATAATTGTTCTGCATAGATATGTCACTGCAGCATCCACAACAGTTCAGCACAATTAGGAGTTTTACTGTTGTGACTGCAAATGTCCTTATACTTCACTAGGGCAAAACCTCCCATTGAATTTTTTGCCCGAGGACAAGCTGAAGGAACTGCAGGATTTTGACCCAAAGAGAAGACTGAAAATGTAAATTAGACACACCTGCCCTAGGGGCACAGGACTACATTCATCAGCTGTTGTTGAAATACATTTTTGTGGATTTATTAAAAAAAATCTCTATTGTAAAAGATATCAGGTGTCCAATTTGCTGATGACTTTTACTTCCTCCACCAAACTCTCTCTTTTGTTCACACAGGGATTTTATAAGCATGCTTCTCATTTCTTAACCAGGGCTCCCCTCCCAGATGCCATCGAAAATTGTTTTGCATGAAGTGAAACACAACATGTGGTTTTCTGCTGCACTCGTTTAAGCCCATGGGGTAAATCACAGACATAGGCAATGAACAAACATTATCTGCCTTGAAATGAACCTACAACACTCCCCCTGGAATCGCTTAGTGCAAATGTTTCCTGTTTAAAATGGAAAGAGAGAAAGGAAGAATTCCAGGCCTTGGACTTTTAGGACCCTACGGTCCCCAGAGACATTTTGCTTTAAAAACAGAACATTATAAAAGACAGGCCCTCCTGTTTTGTTCATGAGACAGTCCAGGCAAAGTGCTGAAGGGGTTCAAACCACCCTCTGAGATACTAAAAGGACTCTTAACCCACATGTGTTCAGACAACTGGTATCTCTACTCTCACACATAGGCCTTGCAACAAAGTCTAACTTCCACAGCAAGCCAAAGGGTTGCGCCGTGTGTTTCTATCAGAGGTGGCCGGAACGATGACAAGACTGGTGGACGAGCCATCCACACCATATCTTGCAACTGGAAGCTTGTGTTTATGTGCAAGAGACATTAAAAGAGGAAGCAGTTGTGTGTCAAGGAATAAAACAAAGGGAACAAATGTTAGTGTGTCATACTTGGCTTTAGTTTCCTTTTTCAAGACTCGAGAGACGTGCAATGCTTAAAAGGATATTTGTCAAGATAATGGTCATATGTTTTAATGTAATTTTTCTTAGCTGTTATCATTAGACAGAATTTTTGCTAATTGTGTTTTAAAAAAATCAAAATAATGCAAACGTGCTTAGGACAGATGCAAAGTCCAGTGGGAATCTGGGCAGCTTTGAATTGAGCCCTTAATGGAAAGCTGAATTTATGATTTTAAAGTATTTCAAATGTAATTGGTGGAAAACAGATTCTGTTCAAGCTGCAGTTAGAGTTGCTCTTGGAACAAGCTGCTGTGATCACCAGTGGCACCTCAACAGACCTTCACTCTTCGGGGTCTGGATGTGGCAAAGGAGCAGCATTACGTGTCCACACAGCGTGGAGGAGGGGCAGGAGGCTGTAGAGCATAGGCGCTGACTTCCTCTGTTTCGGGGGGGGGCTCTACCCCCACTCCACCCCTTCCCACAAGCCCTCGCCTCGTTCCACCCTCGCCCCCACTCCTCCTCCCCCCAGTGCCTCCTGTACCCTGCTGAATAGCTGATCAAGGCAGGCAGGAGGCACTGGGAAGGAGGGGTAGGAGCTGATTGGCGGGGCTGCTGGTGGGTGCTCCGGCGCACCCACGGAGTCGGCGCCTATAGGGAATGGCTTCTTTTCAGGAGAGTTGAGTGTGCTGGGGATGTGGAACCCTTTAGAGTAACACTTGGGAAGGAAGAAACCAAGGTTCCACCGTAAAAATATTGGGATCAGGTATGATGGCCAATTTTACCATGCAGAGCGTTCCCTCTCCAGGCCCCTCTTCACCTCTTCTGGGGGTGGAGTACAAATGGCTCAGCTATGCCTATGGGGTCGGGATTGACAGCTGGAGGATGGTCAGGCTGGGGAAGGAGTGGGTAGAGCCGGGCATGGTTCCACTTCACACAGAGGCTTCGGAAAAGTCAGCGTGTTAATACTTCTGCAGCTTCCGCCACCCTTCGGATACAAAGCCACGAACACTTCAAGGGAGTCTCTGTGGGCAGGGAAGGCTGGGGGAGCCCTGGCAATTCTGCTCCGCTGGCGACCCCTGAGGAGAACGAGCTGAGGGAAACTCAACAAAGGGTCCTTGTGGATGTGTCAGCCCCCCTTACCCAGCTCACTTCCCCAGGGTATTTCTGAAAGGAGGGGAGGGGATGACCCAGGCCATTGTTCCTATTTATAATAAGCCCTGGATGTTGAAACTGAACTATTCCCTGATGATTCATTCTAGATCATCTCATGATCCCTACTGGCCTTAAGCTCTATGTTTCTATTACTCTCTCCCCTCCCCTGCCTCATGCTTGTTGGTTTATTATGGATGATTTCCTCCCAAATCCAGGCCTGCTGGCATTAGTGATTTTAAAAGGGAGTCAGAGAGTGGTTCGAAGCACTTTTTGAAGTCCCCAGTCCCCACATCACATTAACCAGCAGCTAAGAATTTGTAAGATGAAGAAAAGGAAAGAATGGCTGGCGCTTGACCAACCCTGAACGTCCCTTTTATTATTTTTTTAAGTGGACAGAAAGTCAGTATTTCTAAGGCAACCTGCAGCATCAGAAATGCCGTCACCAGGAAAAGCTGGACTCACACGAATAAAGGGAGATTTGGGGGCAATTTCTAATAATGGTGATTCCGGAGAGCGAATGCATTGCCACTTTGAAGCACCTCAATTTTCATCTGACCTTATACAGTCTGCTTGTGTATGTTATTACTTTTCTTAAAAAAAAAAAAAACAAACAACCCATAAGCCAAACCAAACACCTTTTCAATTGCAGCCCCTTGGACACGGTGTTCATTTCTGAGTAGAAGCAAAACAACTCTGCATTTTCTCTCGGCAGAGGCCCTAATGAAATTCTTTCCCCCTCCCGCTCTGTTTTTGTTAGCTCCTGGTGGGTTCAGAGTTCAGAAGGCTGGCTCACACCTCCCCAGTGACCCACAGCTTGTGGGTCAGACCAACAACTAGAAGTGGAAAATCACTGACCCATGGGACCCATCCAAACCCCACAAATTGGGTCAAGCAGGTCCAGCCACTCCAAAGGGCCTGATTAGGAGCGTGCCCTTTAAGAGGACACGCTGGGCATGAACTGCTCTGACCGTCAGCTGTTTGCTTTCTGGTCAGTTGTTTGACCTAGGGGGCCAGTGGGCTCAATGTCTGGTTGTAGATAGGGAACTTACACAACAGCACGGGAAGGAGCTGATCTTGTAGCTCAGCCTTTTACTGACTGGCTCACTTGTGCCTTTTCCCAGTGCAGGAGTTGGGAGCAGAAGATACAGGACCAGCTACGTTAACATACTTCTTGTTAAGGAAGTTGTGGAAAGAGAGAAGGCGGGAGCACTGACTTCAAGGAAGGAATCAAAGCCATTAGAGCCGCGTGAAAACTCTCTCCCCAAATAGTGACCTGATGTAGGCAAAGTGCCTTCCAAAAGCCTGTGTATTGAATTATGATGATGGAAAACACCCACCCCCACAGAGGAGGTATGGCACAGATAGAAGTAATGCAAACTTCCCCACACTTCCTGCCAACTTGTTTCCACCTTAACCTACTGGTTCGGAGCTGTGCTGGTTGATCTTCAAGACACTGATCAGTTAGGAACTCTGATCCATTTCTGTAATTAGGAGCCCAATTAGGGTGACCAGATGTCCCGATTTTATAGGGACAGTCCCGATTTTTGGGTCTTTTTCTTATATAGGCTCCTATTACCCCCCACCCCCGTCCTGATTTTTCACACTTGCTGTCTGGTCACCCTAAGCCCAATATAACCCTTGTTTTAAAGGTGACCTGCAAAGGATGATTAAAATATTATGCTTGTGCCCTTTTTTACTTCTTGCTGATGGATAAAGAAGGCCTGAACATTTTTTCTTTTCCTGCTTGTTTTTACCTTAGAAATATCAAGAATGTCAAGTCTGATATTCCCTGGTTTTGCCACGAAGCTCAGAGAGCTTTCAGGGTTGTTTACAACCTAACTGAAAGGAGCAGACTCTTTAAGGAAGATCTTCCTCTTTCCAATTAGTGATTGACGTTAAATGGGCGTCAATAAAAAATGGATTACAAATTGTTTCTCCTCTCACTTGCTCAACTTCTGCTCTCTTGGGTCTTGTGATGTCCCCATTTCAGTAATTCTCCAGTTATCAGAGA